CTCTGTAAACCGCTTAGAGAGGGCTGAAAGCCCTATGAAGTGGTATATAAGTCTAACTGCTATTGCTATTGCTAACAGCGGCTGGAAAGATCGTAAAACGGGGGGTGGCCCTCCCTCGACAAATGTACCTCGCTCGGCGGGCAGGACACCCACCTGCGTTTCAGGGAAGTTTTTCGTCCCCCCCCCCTTGGATTCCCGAATTCACAACTGGCCCTCGAAGTTTAAAAAAGAACGAACGAACGAAACCAAAAAAAGCAGAATTGCCAAATAATGCCCACGCTTTGACCTCTGGAAAACAACACAAAGGAAAGAACATCACAAAGACACACACAAAAATAGCTGTTTTGCAGAACCAGCAACAGAAAAAAAAAAGTCAACTATTCCCCCTCCCCAAAATTTTAAAAAAATAAAATGTGTTGCAATAAGGAAACCGAGCTGGTTCTCTTGAGAATGGCTTGTCCTTGTTGACCTAAAACTCTTTGTAGGGAATCAATGAATCTCCCCAAACCCCAAGTCTCTTGCTTGCAATAAAGGGGAGGGCAGTTCCACACACCCCCACCCCCCCCAAAAATCCATGCACCGCAAGGTTTGCACCCCAAATCTAGAGGGTTTGGCTCAGTGGCTGAGACGCTGAGATTATCGATCAGAAAAGGTCGGCGGTTCGTATCCCGAGCGCCGGATAACGGAGGGAGCTCCCGTAACTTATCCCGGCTTTTGTCAACCGAGCAGTTCGAAACCAGGTTAAAAATGCGAGTAGAAAAATAGGCACCACCTTTGGCGGGAAGGGAACGGCGTTCCGTGCGCCTTCGGGAGTTGAGTTCATGCCGGCCACATGATCCCGGAGACGTCTTCGGATAGCGCTGGCTCTTCGGCTTTGAAACGGAGATGAGCAGCGTCCCCCTAGAGTCAGGAACGACTAGCACCGATATGCAATCTTTTTACCCCAAATTCACAACTCCGTGGGGGGAAAAGCGTCACGATTCGCACCGGAAAACGAGCACAGACAGATTCCGGATCCAACGTCCCAAATAATAATAATAATAATAAAAAATTTAGGCGAGCGGAAACTCTTAAAAATTGTACTCTTCCAAACCCCCAAAGTTTAAGTTAAAAGGGGGGGGAAATGAAAAATAATAAAATGCCTCCTTGGGTTAGACAGAAAACGAGCTAACCAAACAGGTTTGCAACCTCTGCATTAATCACATCTGGAAGTAGCCCAGTTGGGGCTGAGTTGAATTCGAAGGCCGCTCAGGAACGGTTCTTCCCAAATCTTCACATTTTGCAAAAGTCTTTTTTCCCTCCCTTCTTTTTCTTCCTTTCCTTGCTGAAAAAGGTATTTTTTAAAAAAAAAACAGGCCAGAAATGTCTTTTTTTGGATTATTAGAGGATAAACTGAACAGCTCCTGCATCCCTGGAGGGGGGAAATCAATCCAAAAATGTGTATTTTAAGGCCAATAAGGGAAATTTAAAACTCCTGTTTTTTTGAGGGTAGGAAAGCTATAAAGTTGCACCGCTGAGGTAGGATGAGAGAACCTTAAAAAATGCTTTTAGGAAACAAAACTTTTTTTAAAAAGCAAGAAAAGGGGGTGTTTTGATGCAGGTGGATGCAATAAAAGGAAGTTTTGAAGAATTCGCAGGTGGAAACTGGCAAGGTGAGAAAAACCTCACCAGGTAAGTGGGTGAAACTGACCGGATCGGACGATCAGGTTGATAGAGATTCCCCATCTAGCAAAAAGCCTTTTTAAGGTGTTGGGTTCTTTGAAAGGCATTGTGGGTAGCCTCCCGCCACCCGCAAACCATCATCCACAGCATCTTTCCATTGTCGGCAGGACGGGACGAGAGACATCGTCCGAACTTGGCCGTCATCCACCATGTTCTCCGTCTTCGAAGCCACCCGTCCGTGGTCCAGAAATTTGGGATGCCTGGACTTTCTGAAGTGGGGGGGGGATCCTTGGCCAAGCAAGGCTGCCCCAAGAGGCAGGTTTTGGGGTGCTGTGGGGGGGGTGTCTTGTGGCACCCCCAGAGTCTTCTCGCCGCAGGCCGGCCCCTCACCTCACTTGGGCAACAAGAAGTAATCGGCGTTGGAGATATCGTAGGGACCCTGATCGGGGGTCCGGGGGCTGTCCACGGAGCTCTCACTGAAGGGGGAGGTGGGAGGGGAGAGCAGTGGGGAGGCACTCATGGGGGGATCCGGAGACATCGGGGCCAGCGCGTAGGAAGGTGGCACAGGATTGGCCTTCCTCTCGCCGAAAGGCAGGAGACCCCACTTCTTGCGGTACCTGGAATGCCAAGAGCCCTTGTTAGAAGAAGGGAGGGGCAGGGAGGGTGGGGTTTGGGGGTTGAGAGCCCCTCCTGGCTTGGTGGGTCCCGAGGGGGAGGGGAGAAGAAGGGAGGTTCTGGAAGGGGAAGCCCCAAGGGGTGTTTGGGGTCCGTGGAAGGGAAGGGGGAGGTGGGCAGGCTTGTAAGGGAAGAATGTGGCTTTGGATGGGAGGGGGAGAGAGGAAGGGACAATGCAAAGAGGAGGGAGGGAGTGGAGAAAGAAGGAAGGAAGGAAAGAAAAGGGAGGAGGGAGGGAAGGAAGGAAAGAAAGAAAGTGGGCAAGAGGAAGGGAAGGAGGGGGGAAGGGAGGAAAGAAAGAGGGAATGAAAGAAAGAAGGAAGGAAAGAAAGAAAAGGAAGGAGGGAGGGAAGGAAAGAAAGAAGAGGAGCAAGAGGAAGGAAGGAAGGAGGGAAAGAGGGAAGGAAAGAAAGAAGATGAGCAAGAGGAAGGAAGGAGGAAGGAAGGAGGGAAAGAGGGAAGGAAAGAGAAGATGAGCAAGAGGAAGGAAGGAGGAAGGAAGGAGGGAAAGAGGGAAGGAAAGAAAGAAGATGGCAAGAGGAAGGGAGGAGGAGGGAAGGAAGAAGGAAGGAAGAAAGGAAGGAAAGAAAGAAAGAGGGAAGGAAAGAAAGATGATGGCAAGGGGAAGGGAGGGAGGAGGGGGAGGGAGAAGGAAGAAAAGAAAGAAAGAAAAAGGGAAGATGGGCAAGAGGAAGGAAGGAGGGTGGGAGGGAGGGAAGGAGGAAAGAAAAAAGGAAAGAGGGAGGAATGAAGAAAGAAGGAGGAAAGGAGGAAAGGGTGACGGGAGGGAAGGAGGGATGAAAGGAGGGAGGGAGGAAGGATGGGAGGGACAGAAGGAGACAAAAAAAGAGAGAGGGAGGAACGGAACGAAAGAAGGAAGGAAGCACTGGCCCAGTTCCGCTTATCCCCCCCCAGTGAACCCCCAACCAAAACAAACCACGTTTCCTTCCCTGTCCCCACTTTAACCCAGTTTGTTCGCCTGTTCTCTGTCAGTCTTTCTTCCCCCACTCTTCAAACTCCCCAACCCCCCCCCAAAAGGACCCTCCTAACCCCACCTCCTCTGGTCCCCAAACTCCCCCCATCTCCCCCTCCCCGAAAAAGAGAGAGACCCCCTTCTCACCGGGTGAGGACGCCGACCGCCAAGGCCAGCCCCAGCGTGATGCTGACCGCCATGACGAGAAACACATGAAGCGGCACGCCAGTTGCCTCTTCCACCGCTGGAAGCAAAAAAAAGACACCCCCCCCCCACAATTAGGGCCTGTGGGATGAGCCCCCTCCTCCCCTCCAGAGACCCCCACCAGGGCTGGGACCCACTCTCCCATAATGCTTTGCGGCTCCAGGGGGATTCTGGGAAAGCTGGCCAGAATCAAAGAGATAACGATAACAATGATTTTATGTATACTTGATAGAGGATCGGTGATATAACGTATAACCCTAAGAATATATTACAAAGATAAATAATTTTAATAAGGGAATAATTAAAAAATGTTATATATATATATAGATAGATAGATAGATAGATAGATAGATAGATAGATAGATAGATATAGATATAGATATAGATATAGATATAGATATAGATATAGATATATATACACACACACACACACATCTATATAGATAGATAGATAGATAGATAGATAGATAGATAGATAGATAGATAGATAGATAGATAGATAGATAG